TTTGAACGAGTACTCGTTTTGGAGCGTCTCGTCCGAGCTCTCGTGCTGTTCCCAGGATTGCTGTTGCGACGTTTGATTATCGTCAATAACAGTTGCAGGTGCGTCCCCTTCATCATGAGGTATGAGATCCGAATCCAGAGGGTCGACCATCAGTTGGCTCCTCTCGGCTTTCTTCCTTTTAAGGAATCGTTCGGCTTGCTCCCCTCGAGCCTTCAACTCCTTCCAAGTATTGAGCGGCTCTATTCCCATCACGTCCAAGATGTTAATGGACAAGTTGTTCTGACAAGTCTGCAAGATGAATTCCTCCGTGACGGGATCCTTGCAGTTCATTGCCTGATTGCGGAAGCGTTTGATGAAGGTATCCACCGACTCTCCGCCTTTTTGTTTCTCGTCGAAGAGTGTCCTGATCGACACCTCGGTGTCATCATCGAAGAAATGGGCGAGAAACATGCTTTCCAAGTCTTCCCAGCTGTTGATGCTTCCGGGCTTGAGACGGCGGTACCAATCGAAGGCAGGCCCGCGCAGGGTGCCAACGAATGACCGAACCATCAAAGGTTCGTTGCCCGAAATTACCCCTAGGTGGGACTTGAAGTAGATCAGATGTTGAGTGGGCGAGCCTTCCCGTTGAACGGCGTGAAGTTGATGAGGTTGAATTTTGCCGGATACGGGATCGAATCCCACTCTTTTGGGTAAGGACACGGAATGCCGGTCCTCTTCACCTCTCGAGTAGACATCAGGGCTTCGATTTTTCTTTCGAGCTCCTTTATCTTTTCGGCCTCACCCATATCCTGTTTTGGACGATTTTCGAGAGAAATGATACGGCCACCCCTGGTGTTGTCGTCACTGGTGGGTCCACCCCCAGCGTTGTTACTTTTAGTGGGGCCACCCCCAGTACTTTTGGGTGGTGCGTCGGCCATGATGATTTCGTCCACTTCCGGATTTAGATATATTTTTCTTTTGAGCTCCACTGTAGACTTTTTGGTTTAGATATTTGAGAGTCTATTCTAGAAGATGCAAAGGCTGTGTGCCTTATTTCCTTTTATCCAAACCTTTCTATTTGAGACTTGTTGAAAAGTTCCAGTGTATTCATTTCAGACATTTACTTGTACTTCAGTATATTAGATGATGAAATACTAACTTGATCTCTATCATTATCCTCAGTTGTTCCTTGTATTATCTTCTACTTGCTTTTGTACCTGCACCTGTTGTTGACTCTACTAGATAGATGTTAATTGTGATGGTGAAACATGTTATTGCACGGTGTGGTGCAAAGCAGGTTTGACATTCTTGGTTTCACCTTGGACTGCAGCCTTGTGTGAACCCAGGGGCGTCACAACTACCTGGCAATCAGATCTGATCCAGAAAAATCGGGCAGAGCTTCATCGATCCGCGAGGGGATCTAGAAGCCTGAAGCACCTATCTCGGATAAAGCGAGATATTTGCTCTTCTTAGGATTACCGGCGAGGGGTAATGCTAAGGACCGGATGCGGGTGATGTGGATCTGATGAAGAACTCTCCTGTGTTGAAGCGCTCGACCACTCTTCACTACAGCAGGGCTTCGCCAATTTTTCTCCAAAACTCCAGATCATAAAAAAGTGAGGCCTAAGGTTCCTATTTATAGGCAAGAGGGGGTACAGGGCGTCGGGACACCCCTGGGGTGTCTAGGCAAAGCCGAGACCGGCTGCTCACATGGGTTCTCAGGTATAACGCATTCGTTTGTCTGACGCGTCTTCTTCTGAGTGTTCATTTCCTTGTTGGCCTTTACAGGAGTCTCACGTTCGGGATCACACCTTTGTGAGGGTGAAACCTTAACAGGCTCCTGATTTTTTGCACGCACCGCCGAGCTGGCAGTTGCAGAGATCACTTTGTTATGAGATCGTGTACGACCCCCAGTCTGGATGTTGGCTCGGAGCTCCTTCAACGATCCCCAGCTTTCCTTGACGTTTGATTGTTTCCGCCGTAAATTCTTCGTCCGAACTCGGATTTGAGTGATTCCAAGTGCGTTGGAAGTTTGACGAAGAGTTTTATCCGCTCTAATGGTTGGATTATCTGTAGAGTGGACAGGATATGAAGGGCGTTGCTCTTTTTGTGAACATCGTAGGGTTCCCGATTGGCCCGTGCCTTCGTTATTCCGGAGATCGTGTACGACCCCCAGTCTGGATGTTGGCTCGGAGCTCCTTCAACGATCCCCAGCTTTCCTTGACAAGCGCTTTCCCTCGATTCTCGGGTAGAGCATCGATGTGGTTGTTCAGAGGATCCCTAGTCTTGGGGAAATCCACGCTGCGGTGGGGCTTTACCGAAGGTTCGGGACCTGAAATTGACGAAGGTTGGAGAGCAATATTACCTGCTTTTACCTTAGGCGTTGATTCGGCCTTTGGCATCCAAACTCGTTCGGATCTTGGCGATCTCTTAACGGCCTTTTCCCTTTGCGTTTCTTGTGCCTTTCGCATAAGGGTCCGAGCATACGCACGCAAGGCGCGGCGCTTCTGGATTCGCTCCTCGAGAGTAGAACGGGTTCTTTTGACATGAAAACTCCTGTGGATCGGATAGTGACGTTCATCGTCGCTCTTTAACACTGAGCTGTTCGTGGAGACCTATGAGCAATTTTCGATGCCTACAGTGCTGCAGCCCCTAAATTGCTGATCTATGTGATTCAACCCTTTTTTCATGTAATTCTTATGCCAACTAAGCACAAAGAGAGAGAGAAATAAATATAAAAGCCCAAAATACCATCTTCCTCCTCTCTCTTTCTTCTCTCCAGATCTAAATATGGTCCTCCTTCCTCCTCTCTCCTAACCCATTTATTTCCTCCTCTCTCTCTCTTCCTCCTTTTTTCTCTAAGACGCCGACATCCTCCTCCACCGTCATCGACCTTACGTGTACGCTCCGGTCATATTGTTTGCTCCTTTTCTCCCACTAAGTTTCCCTAATCTCTCTCTCCCCCCTTTTAAAAAAACTAAAAAATGCATAATTTAAATCATGTTAACTCTCTAATTTAACTTGTTTTAAGTCTAATTTTATGTTAAATCCAATTTAATTTTATGTTAAGTCTAATCTAGTTCATGTTAAGTCTAATTTAAATCGTGTTAAGTCTAATTTAAATCATGTTAAGTCTAATTCAACTTATTTTGAAGTCTAATTTTATGTTAAGTCCAATTTGGTTCATGTTAATTTCAATCTAATTCATGATAAATCTAATTTAATTTCATAAACTAAAATTAAATTTAACATTGTTTGCGGAAAAAGTTGCTGTATTCATTGCTGCATTCATTACAACTTTGATCGTTACAATGAAATAAAAAGATAGCCTTTTTATAAGACCGGTACACAATGAAAACAAAAGAAATGCAACTCCTTTCAAACAAACGCAAGATCTGTTTGTCATCTCTTGCTTGCGTGGGTCTTTTGCCTGTGACGGGGATGTTGATATCCGTGGACCACCGGGGCACTCAGATCTGGTCCGGATAAATCGGACAGAGTTTCGTCTATCCGTGAAGGGATATGGAAACTTTCTGATCCGGATAAATCGGACAGAGCTTCGTCTATCCGCGGAGGGATATAGAAGCTTCGAAGCGTCTATCTCGGCTAAAGCGAGATATCGGCTCTTCTTAGTATCAACGCTAAAGGCTAATACTAAGGATCTGACGGGTGATGAAGGCTCTGATGTAGACCACTCCTCTCCTTGTTGAAGCTTACGGGCACTCTCCAATGCAGCAGGGCTTCGCCAAGGCTCTCCAAAAAAATCCTCTTCCGGGTGCGTTGGATGCGCGACGAAGAGTTTGATCCGCTCTGGTGATTGGATTATCTGTAGAGTGGTCGAGGCATGAAGGGCGTTGTCCTTTTTGTGAACAGTGCCGGGCTTCCCGATTGGTCCGGGTCTTCGTGATTCCGAAGTCCTATCCGCTCATGTAACTCGTCGATTCACTTCAGTCGTTCGTCGACGTCGATTAGGCTCATGTGGATTGGATGGTGACGTTCATCGTCGCTCGTTAACACTGAACCGGTTGTGGAGAACTATAGGCAATTTTTGATGCCTACAAACATGAACTAAAAAATAGACTTAACATGAACTGAAATTAGAATTAACATGCACTAAAATTGGACTTAACATGAATTAAATTGGACTTAATATGAAACTAGACTTAAAACAAGTTGAACTAGACTTCACATGAACTGGAATTAGACTTAACATGAACTAAAATTAGACTTAATATGAACTGAAACTAGACTTAATATGAACTAAAATTAGACCTAACATGAACTGAAACTAGACTTATCATGAACTGAAATTGGACTTAACATGAAACTAGACTTAACATGAACTGAAACTAGACTTATCATGAACTGAAATTGGACTTAACATGAATCAAATTGGACTTAACATGGAATTAGACTTAAAATAAGTTGAACTAGATTTAACATTAACTTGAATTAGACTTAATATGAACTGAAATTAGATTTAACATGACTCAAATTGGAATTAACATGAAATTAGACTTAAAATAAGTTGAATTAGACTTAACATAAACTGAAATCAGACTTAACACAAACTGAAATTAGACTTAACATGAACTGAAATTAGATTTAACAGGAACTGGAATTAGACTTAACATGAACCAAATTGGACTTAACACGAAATAAGATTTAAAATAAGTTGTATTTGACTTAACATGAACCAAATTGGACTTAACATGAAATAAGATTTAAAATAAGTTGTATTTGACTTAAAAGGAATAAATTAGACTTAACAAAAACTAAAATTAGACTTAACATGAACTGAAATTAGACTTAATAGGAACTAAAATTAGACTTAACATGAATCAAGTTGGACTTAAAATAAAATTTGAATTAAAATAAGTTGAATTAGACTTAATAGAAAATAAATTAGACTTAACATGAACTGTTGTTTGACTTAATATGATTTAAATTAGACTTAAAATGGTTTAAATCCTGTAATTTTTTGTTTTGCTGAGTTCTTAACTGTCAAGAGAATCTGAAAATTATCTTTTCTCAGGAGCTTTTGTGAGCTAAAATAAAATAGTATGAAAAAGAATTATAAAACTCAAATACAAGAGTGCTGAGGAAACTCAAATTATGCACTATGCTAAACAACTAGGCTGACACAAGCAACTAAAATAGCCCAGCAAACAATTAGAAATTCTACATACCATTTTAGTTATGGCCCATGGAGCGTGAGTAATTATATACCATTTTGGACCCTGCATAATTACGCTGACACAAACAACTCCGCCCCCTAATCCACCAAATAATTCTTAAATAAACATTTGACAAACTGAAAAAAAAACAATTAGCCTCCACCCGTTAGAGCAAGCGAGAGAATTCAAAATCAGAATACTATAAAGATTGAAAAGAATATTTGTTACAAAACGCATTGTTACCAATGTAAATCGATATACATGTATAACGAGGGCTCTAAGTCAAGGTAAATACCACTAGATATCAAAGAATACATCAATAAAGAATGAATTACAGCAATTCAATTATGTGAATCTACATGTGCATCTTAGCTGAGCTGTAACAGGTTGATGCGAGATAAAAAACCGTGTACGAGGAGAACAGCGAGGCTCAATGGCAACAAAGCATAATTTGTGTTGCGTGACGAGATACTGACATCACTTTGCTTAGTATTGACATACTCATTATTGTTGCCAGAGGATGATGAAACATTCACGGGTAAAGAACCTGAATACCAACAGAAAACAAAATTAGATGATCATTTGCAAACTGGGAAAGGGAAAAAAAATGTTTCGTGTAGTAGACTTACAGTCATAATTTTTCCAGCCAATGCGCTGATTCGCCAAATCGTAAACAATAATCTTGTCTTTAAGAACAAGGTCTGCAATAGGGGGGAAATTTTAGCGAAAATCAGGATATTAGATGGTAGATAAAACAGGGAATTAAGTAAAGACATGGCTGGGCATGATAAACATCAAGAGTGCCGAAACCAGAAAAGTATGAAAAAAGGGGCTAAAACCAATCTTGAATTCTATAGTGAAAAAAAGGGTTTGAAGGTATTTCCATCTCTCTTTAACTAATTGAAGCTCAGCATAAATGTATGAACCTAACCATTCTGACATTTTACATCATGAGTTTTTAGAAACCTCTTCTAGTGTATATAATATGTCGACGAAGGAATAAACTAAGGTGTAAGTTGAAGAGCTATGACCATAATTTTTCATATGCAAGCTTAATCATCATCAATAAAGAAAAGAGCCGAGGGGGTCATGTATCAATCTTTTAGAAAATAAGGAGAAAGTGTTAGTATGCAAACCTCCTAAGATTGTTGTTCCGCCTTCGATTTTTTGCCAGCCAATACACCATATAGTAGCATTACCCTGAAAATAGGAAGACGAAAATTGCTTTAACTATTTAAAGCACCTATTATCTTAACCTAGTTGATCGAATATATTTTAGTTAAAGCATTATACACAGAGCTCAACTTACTTCACCCTGTTGTAGAAGATAATCTCTAGGCTTCAAGTTGAGTGCTGCGTTCCCCGCAAAATTGAAAGTAATTGGAGGAAATACGTGGTCAACGCTGTAAGAAATTTTATAAAAATGAATTGAAAAGGTAACTCAGCTGGTAATTATACTTTTTACATCGCTGAAATACGGTGAATTTGTTAACGTGATAAGAATAAGACCTGCTAGTTGTAGCAAAACACTGGTAATCTGTATTATTGACAGGCTGGACCTTCGATGACTGGATTGAAGAAACTACCTGCCGAAAATGTTAAAGAGTAGACAGAGAAAAGAAGTTAGTTTCAAGTTAATTTGAACTTTTAACAAGAAACTCATTGGTTCACTAACAAATTTGAACAAAAGGAAGCCTCATTGTCAAGAATCATAGCGCGCAGTAGTTAAACTAAAATGAGAAATTGATTATCCGATAAAAAAAAGACTTACTGCATTGATAAAGGGATCATATGCTTTTTCTGCTATGTAAGCCAACGTGGTCCCAGAATCAACAATTGTTCCTTGTGTTGTTGATGTCGTTGATGTCGAAAACACCGAGGAATCAATATTTAGTTGTTGCCCATTGACATGAATGCTTTCTAGATTCACGTTAAAATGGGGTCTGAAGATATGAAGAGAAAGAGAGTCAGCATCATGTAAATATAAAGATATAAACTGCAATTTGCAAGAACAATGATGTTACGATTAGAAGCAGCTAATCTTCTTACTGTCTATGCTTCCACAATAAACTAAACAATAATTTCAATTAATTACTCATTCTGACTGAAATTTGACTAATTAATCTCATTTACATTCCCAAGGTTTTATCAATATTTACTAAGCTAAATTCAGCAAGGCAATAATTTCCCAGGTTACTTTGGACTCATCCACTTGACTGATAGAACCCTATCCTACATAATCTACATGATTTGTATATGTTTCACACCGATGCACTCGCTCTAAGTAAGAGCTTCGTTATACAGTCAGCTAGCTAGAAGAGAGAGTATATCGTTTAAAAACTTGGAATTAGTACTAGAAAGTAACTTACGAAACCTGTTCATAGTAAGTTCATATGTAATACAAGAAATAAATTAACATAAAATATAAATATTTTGGTATAACAAATTTGAGTTGATAACAAGTCAGTAAATAGTTGATCAAAGTATAAAAAAATTCATGCACACTTCTACCACCTAGCTGTATCCATGGACTAGTGCCAATAGCCAAAATTCCCGGACACTCGTCAAACATGTGCTGGACATTTTCCTATTGTATTCTTCTTTATGCTCTATTTTTATTTCAATCACTCATTGGATACATATGGGTCACGTTTTTATGATTGATAAAACACCTATTTCAATTCACATTAATTTCACATTTAAGCATGAATTATATCGGCATATGTTAGAAGCCACAAGTGTGGAAAAGAACATCAAATTAATGACATGAATATAAGTTATGCATTTTCATGGGTTCACATGTATATCAATTTATTTTTTTGAAGGAATTTATCTATATAAATTGAAGCGGTCTCCTCACACAAAAAATTATGATGATATACAAAATGTTTAGATGTTCCTATGTTATAATGCCCACTGTTTCGTCTTGGACGAATCGTATGCAAGGAATGCATCTTTAGGCGATAAAATTAGCGATTAGATTGAACACTGTGGTTAATTTTGAAACTTAAAGAAGATAAATATGTGGTTAATTTTGAAACTTAAAGAAGATAAATATCGAGGAATAAACAAGCCCATTGCTCAATATAAAACATATAGGTCTCTAGAAAAAAAAACAGGTCGACATAAAACTTGGTAATGACAATAGAAACTAGGAAACACAGTTGTTTGAAGAATATATACATGCGAAGATGCAACTTTTGAAAGGGATTATGAACTTACTGGTACTGGACAAGTGGGGTATAGACGATGCCAGGTTCATCTATCTGACCCAGGACTAATATACCTCCACCTTTGTCTGAACCTTTCAAACAATGCGAAAACACTCCTGAAGAAACCCCAGCAGAGGAGAGCTGTGAAATTACCGATATCTGTTGCTTTCCCAACCCAAATATCCCATCAACTGCCATACTTGAATTCGTTAGCCGTCCAGACTGCGAGTTGCTGCATCTGTTGAATCAAATTTCATGTTACATAATTGTTTATGCAGTAGTCTTAGCGTATTAATTTGATAGTTCTAAAGGAAATATATATATTAGAAAGCATCATTCTAATCTTTTTTTTTTTGCCTTTTCAGATAAGGGCCTGCTTGGTTCAAACAACCCCTAGTATGATAATGCCTTGACCATTGTATAGTCTGCATAAATTAATTGTTTATGAACTGGAAATGAGCATTAATTAACCCTTACCAATTGCACACAATTTTAACTATACCTCAACGGAAATCTAAATCAAAGTGAGAATCAATACCCAAAAATAACTTTAGCCGACGAATTTGCAACCTGCTGGTCATTCTTGGCAACCGTGTCGAAATGCAACGTATCGGATACATAATACCCCGATGTAGCACTACCATCTCCGTACTGAAAAGAATAAGAACACTGACTGCTACTTGAACTCAAAAAGGAGCAAGTACCCTCTCCAGTTTGAATTGCGTTAGTACACATCTGATCCGAGCAACTGAGCAGCGAAGCAGTCGACGAGCTTTTCGGATCGAATAACTTCAATTGAATCTGCATGTGGAAAGATATATGCGTTTTACATAAACTTTCTAAAATTAAAAATTATGAGAATTTTGAGGGAGTATGAGGATTTACATCGAGTTCACTGCTTGTTGGGCATCCAGTGCATCCGTTACAATTTACCCATAAGACGTCGCTGCCTGTGTCTATCTGAACATAGAACTCTTTTGCAGGGTTTCCTAATTTTACACGAGTGAAGTAGAGCCTATAACCCAAAAAAAAACCCAAATTAAAATTGCTGATTATAATTAATAACTGTTCTTCTATAATAGATCAAACCTCAAATATCAGAAAATAAACAAATGAATTGAATATTTTCCCTCAATTTCAAGAAATGCATTAGAATAGAATTACAACGGCACAATCAAATTATAATGAGACAAAAATTTAACCTTTGTTTGAAAAAAATGAAAAAGAATCTTGCATGAGAAATCATCGTAGGTTATTTAAGTTCACACAATATTTCATAAAAGAACTGATTTCTTATTCCTGACAAAGACGCCGACAATGACCCAAAAAGGAAAGGGCGAAGTGAAATTACCCGGCAACGAACGGACTCGAGGACCCCTGAACGGGGAAGTCCACGACCCCCTCAGAAAGAAACCGCCGGTGCAA